TAGAAAAGCTTAAAAATTTAATTTTCTAATATTGTAGATGTTGGTCGAATCAGGACTCTGCTTTAACTAGATTGAGAGAGAGAGAGAGAGAGAGAGAGAGAGAGAGAGAGAGAGAGAGAGAGAGAGAGAGAGAGAGAGAGAGAGAGAGAGAGAGGGAAAGAGAGAGAGATAGAGGGAAAGAGAGAGTGAGAGAGGGAAAGAGAGAGAGAGAGAGAGATAGGGAAAGAGAGAGAGAGAGAGAGAGAGGGAAAGAAAGAGAGAGAAAGGTCTTGCTAAAGAGTTTTGGTCATTTGGGTAATATCGACGGCGAATATAGTTCTGAATGTATTCCTCATTTCAGTAAATGCCGTTGGAAGTGGAGAAAGAGTTAGGTCATCCTCTGTAGGAGAGGCTAGACCTAACTTCACTTGGTGTTGACGCCGAACAGCGCCTACCGTCGGGTTATTGACTCGGCTATAATCGTGTTAACGATCGCTACTCACGCCAGTTAAAAAGAAGAAGAAAAATACTTTGCCTAAAATCATTCCGTTCCCAAGCATATTTAAATCACAGCGAAACATACTCAGCCGAGGTTGGCTCTTTCTTAATTGTGGCAACTCTGCGCGTCGCTGCTTTTTATTTTTTATTTACTTTTTTTTTTTTAATTATAATTTTTTTTTGCGTTTGTATTGTGCTCGCATACGGAATTTAATATTAATATTTCTCCATCATTTTATTTTCATATTCATAAAATTTCATATTAATTTCAGTTATGAATGAAATGAAAATGTTGTAAAAGTTTTTCCTCTGCATTCTGCAGTGCGTGTGTCTGCTTATACCAACATACATACGCGATATTATTTATGAATATACGTATATGTATGTTTAGGTGTGAGTTTGTTCGTTTGTTCATTGAGTTGGCGCATGAATGGAAAATGTTAATTTGCTCTGTTGCACTATATTTTCTATGCGTAATTAACTGCCTGAATGATGCACACTTTATCTATAAGTTTAAATGCAGCACTACACTGCATATATATATATATATATGTATGTGTGTGTGTGTGTATGTGTTAGTAATTTCAAATTGAGTGTCTGATTGACTACGCACCCACAAAGCGTCTACTAGTGAACTTTCCTCAGCAAGTGAGCGTTGGGTTGATTGAATGAATGAATGAATGAATGAAGGGCTGAGTGAGTGAATGAGTCAATGAATGAATGAATGAATGAACGTGCTTAAACACCTGCTCGGTACAACCAGCTTCCAGTTAGCAATCTTCGACATACAAACACACACACACACACACAATCACACACACACAAACAGCGCTACAGTTACTTAGTTTACGAAAGCCTGCTTGCCTTTTCCGTCAGTTGAATGAAATTTAATTATTCTCATTATAATGTTGCAACAAGCTTTGTAACTACAATTTTTTGTTTTTCTTTTTCCACATCAACCGTTGATGATTCGAGCTGCAGCAGCAACATTTTTCATGAATGACGTGAGCCATTTGCCATTTACAAAAGCCGTTGGCGCGTTTGACGTTAACGCTGATTTTGACGTTTATGATGAGCATCTGTATATATGACTGCGTATGTATGTACACACATACATGCAGTGAGAAATACTCTTTACTGGCTTTTTATTATTATTATTTTTTTTTTTAAACACACTTTGCATGCTTTGCTTTTAGCGACTATTCAAGTCCAAGTGTTCGCGTGAGTTTTGAGGTGTGAAATGAGTTGGTGTTCAAACAAATGGAAACACATACATTTGTATATACATATGTACATGTACGTTGTTTGTATTTGTTTATATTATTATTTACATGTAATTACAGCTATACAAAGGTATGTAGAATGTAAGTAGGTGTTTAAACGTTTGTGCTTTGCAGGTGATAAATGCATACATATGTATGTATGTACTTGTATGTACAAGAGTTATGCGTCATCAGTTAAGTAGATTTTTATTTTAATTTTTTTTTGTCTTACAAATAATTATATACGTAAATATTGCACACTCATTTATTTATTGATACCACCTATCGACTGCTATCGTATGTATGTATGATTTTTATCACTCAAATGTTATTAAAAGTTTTATTATTTTTTATCAAAAATAATAATAAAAATTCTAGTGTTGTTTTACACGTATATATGTTTTCGTTAATATATACATACATATTTGTTTTTTTTTACTAATAATGTGAATGCATTAATTTTGTTTTTGGGTGAGTAATTTTATGAAAATTTAATCTCTTTTGTATGCATCGGATTTCATTTCAACTTAAATATTTTTTTCATATTTTTTCCGTATTTTTTCTATATTTTTTTTTACAGCTCTTATAAATATCTTAAATCATAATCACTTTTGGAAAATTATGGAATTCGTCATATATTTTTTTTTTTTTTTTTTGTATAAAGATTATAAAACACTTTCCATTGTTTAAATGCATATAATTAATTGATTTTTGTAATTGATATCATAAAGTTCTTTATAAAATGATGATGAATATGATTATTTTTGTGCCAACTTTTGCTCAGTATGGTATGCATATTATTATTTTTTTCCATTCTGTATTTTTAATTAAATCATAATTTTTATTCGAATTATATTCTCTCTGTATACTGCCTAAGGTCTGATGAATTTTCATGAAAAGATTTGATTTGCATGTCAGAAATACACTCTAAGGACTTGGCTATCCCGGCGGAAAGACAACCTACTAATTGCAATTACAAATTTGGATGTTGGTCGGGCCAATATTCAAACTTTGGCCTCCAAATTACTAGTACGCAATGCTAACCACTCGGTTATTGTGGCCGTGAAATATAAAATAATTAAATGAGTCTTAATAAAATCACCCACTTGCCACCTCTACTTGCCAGTCGTACCAATGTTTGGTGTAATTTTCATGGTTAAAATAATGAGTTTTTAGGACTCTCCTTTTTTCTGAAGTCAATTTCAATGTTCCACTTAAAACGTTCGCACTGTTTTGCCACTTTTTTCTAAAAACTGAAAACTGGTATAAAGAATTTTGAATTACACGAGCCCAAGCAGTCTGGACATTTCTGACTCGTTTAAGATAATGTTTGTATCGACTTTAAAGTAATTTTTAAGAACCTTATATTAGGTGTGGTAAAAAGTTCGTTCGGGCGTTCGTTCGTTCGAGCGCTCGTCAAAGGAGGACGCCAGCAAAGAGAAAATTCGTTAGAATTTTTTTTTCTGCGCTTAAGGCGAAAAAGCAGCCAAAGCGGCTAAAAAAATTTATTTAGTTTATGGGCCCGATACTGTAAACGAACGTGTAGCAAGAAAGTGGTTTGCTAGGTTCCGTTCCGGTAATTTCGATGTCAAAAATATACCACGCGTCAGGAGGCGTGATAAAATCATGGAAATAGTGGAAACAGACCCTCACGTGAGCGCTTATTTAATTGCTGAGGAACTAAAGATAAACCAGAAAACCGTTTGGAACCATTTGCATAGCCTTGAATTCAAAAAAAAAACTCGTTGTTTGGGTGCCACGCGAGCTAACGCAAAAAAAAACACCATGGACCAAATTTCTATTTACGAATCGCTGCTGAATCGGAACAAAATCTTCCGTTTCTGAAGCGGATTGTAACTTGTGATGAAAATTGCGTCACTTGCGACAACATCGAGTGCAAAAAGTCGTGGTCAAAGCTCGAGGAAGCGGCCCAGACAGCGGCCAAGACCGGGTTGACGGCCAGGAAGGTTTTGCTATGTGTTTGATGGTACTGGCAAGGAATCATCTATACGAGCTCTTCTCATGTGGTCAAACGCTTTTTTAGTTCTCGACATTTATTAAACTTCTGCTCATCGTGACTCGGTGCGGATAGATGGGAACTCGTTGGTTATAATAACAGAGCTCCTGCAAGTTATCCTCGACACCAGGGCAATTAATTTACAAGTGGTGTATAAATGAGTATATAACAACTTGCCACCTAAGGTCCTTTGCAATCGAATTACTGTGAACACTATTGTTACTGGGAGTATGGAACCTTCTGTCAGATTCCAGACATCTCTATATCTAAACATAAGTTCATTTCTCAGCATATATATCCATATACATCTAGTCCAGCGTTTTTTTATTTTTTCCTTCTGAATAACAGGTTTTTTTTCAAGGTCCTTAGGGGCTTTTGTCGGAGATGAGTTCTATATTCGACTCGAGTCTCTTACTGCCCAGTCATTTATTCAGGTTTGGAAACAAGAAATAGTCGCATGGGACAGAATCTGGAGTAGTTGGTAGTTCTGTTTAGGAAGTCTTGCCATGGTCATTAAATACTTGTGCACCAGTGCATTATGCCGATAGAGCAGCATTTTTTCCGTCAAGTGTGTTCTGTTTTAGTTGTAAATAAACATCCCTAAACACTACTCTGATCTGGTTACACAGTTGGGCTTATGTTCGGGTGTCCATCGCACGGATATCTTCTTCATGTCCAAATATTCATGTAAAATCTGATTTACCCACTTAGTTGAGTTGCCTACAGCTGCAGCCACATGACGCCCTTTTATTCTTCGATTGTCGATTAACATGCCACGGATTTTATCGACGATTTCAGGCGTTCTGACCTCTTTAGGTCGACCTGGACGTACGACGTCACTTTTACTGGTACGACAACGACGGTACTCTGTAAATCATTTCTTAACAATCGAAATTAATGATGCAGAGTTCCCATAATCTTTACCAAGTTTTTTCTAGGTTTCGGTGATGTTTCTTATCCGCACACGAATTTCACTTTTTTCAATATTCGAAAAAATTCATTTCAATGGCTGTCAAACACAAACTAAATAACGCAGTTTGCTCAAAATTTTACAGTAGTCTGTTAATCGATAACAGTTGATGGGAGCACTGTTGTGTTTACAGTAGCTGCAGTAACAGTTCTCGAGTGTATTTATTTGTTTTCTTCTAATTTAGCTTAATTTTTATGGAGTATAATATCTATATTTATATTTGCAGTGATTTCAGTAATTTTAATTTTAAATTATTATTCATATTTATTTGCAGATGCAGTGATTCCTTCTACAAACAGTGGTAAGTCCGCCGCCATTTCGTTCAGCTATTTGGCTGCAATTAAACTAAATAATTTTTCTATGCTGTCTGCATTTAAATTGTTTACATTTTAGTACTCTCCGCTGACTTCTTATAAATTTCTTTAAAATTATTATCTTTTAAACTACTTAAATGTTTAAGTAAAAAAAATGGACTATTTGTTTTATATGTTTTTTAGAATAATTTTTCCAATTGCAAGTAACTTTCGAATGCCATATTTCTTGGCTTAATAATAACGAAAAAAAATCCACTTGTGACTTTATTTTGTTTTTAATTTTTTTTTTATTCGCTCATTTCGAACTACACACTAAAGTTGTAGAAAATATTTTCATATATATATATATATATATATTGTATATTTAAATTCCGTTTGCAAAACAAAATAAACGCTTTTCTTTGTTAATGTTTTTTTTTTTTGAAAAGCATTTTATTCTATAAATAAAAAATGGTTTCTAGACCCAATTTAAAGTATTGGATGAGTGCATAAGTCCGTGTCCGATTTCAAGTGCAAACTAAAATTGAAATTTTTTGAAGAAAGCGCTTTTATTAATCAATTATGTATTCGCCTTTATGTTCGGCAGTTCACTTCTAACGTTCAACCAATTTACGGATGCCTGATTCATATAAATCGCGCGGTTTCTCGTTGAAAAAGGTGTCAAGGTGGTTTTTGACGTCTTCCACATTTTTAAATTTTTTTCCATTCAAATTGTTCTGCAGCGATCGAAACAAATGATAATCAGAAGGTGCAATGTCGGGTGAATATGGGGGATGCGGCATGATTTCCCAATTCATCTCCTTCAGTTTGGCCAGGGTCGGTTTTGCAACATGTGGCCTGGCGTTGTCATGATGGAAAAGAACTCCTTTGCGATTGGCCAAAATCGGACGTTTTTCATCAATTGCTTTCTTCAATTCGACCAATTGCTGACAATACTTGTTGGCAGTGATCGTTTCTCCAGCTGGCAAGAGCTCAAAATAGATCACGCCTCGGATATCCCACCAAATGCACAGCAGTACCTTCATCGGATGCAATCCACCTTTCGACATCGGTTCCGCCCCTTCGTGTGCCTGTTTCCATGTTCTTTTGCGTTGAACATTGTTGTACAGGATCCATTTTTCATCACCAGTCACGAGCCGATCCAAAAAAGGATCGTTTTTGATCCATCAAAGCAAAGAAATTGCTGTTGACATACGGTCCACTTTGTTTTTTTCACTCAACTGATGTGGCACCCATGTATCGAGCTTCAAAGTGTACCCAACCTTTTTTAAACGACGAAACGCAGTTGATTTGTTGACGTTGAATTCACTGGCAACCTCTTCCGTCGAAATATGCGAGTTATTCGCAACTAAAGTCCTTAGAACATCGTCATCAAGCTCAGAAGGCCGTCCACTGCGAGGTTGATCTTCGAGGTTACGAAATTTCGTGAACCATTTCTTTATTGTGCGGAGTGCTGGAGCGCGGTCCAAATAAACTTCGCGAATATCTTTTGTTGCAGCGCCTACTGTTTTTCCTTTGCGGAATTCGTATTACATAATATTTATGACGCATATGATCTTTTTCGTTGTCCATCTTCCATGCGTCTTTTCACTAAGTAACTCAAATCAAAATGAAGTTATTTTATGCTAGATTTACAGTTCGGACTGTCACCTTTCCAACGATATATAAAATGTATATATTTGTTTCACGAGCGCCACTCTCAAACGATTCGAACGGCATCCAGCGGAATCGGGCACGAACTTATGCACTCATCCAATAGTTTAACATTAAACCAGAATTCAAGAGCAACTCACTAACCAAACTATTAAGAAAAATAGCGGCTAAATTAGTGCATTTAATAGTTCTTGGTCAATAATGGATTGAATAATAACAGATTGCAAGGCTGATGTTGGGGCACTCGCACTCGCCTGGTAAGTCAAGATCCATTGGTGCGAGCCCTGTCATAAGAAGTATGATGAGGAGATGTGCTGATCTCTAAAACAGCTGTCACTACTACCATTTTCCTTTGTTGTATAACAAAAAGTATTCATTTCATACAAACAAACCAGGCCTTTATCTCACTAAAAAACTTATCACGAAAAAAAAATAAACAATTCATTTTAAAAAATATTAGATCTTCTTGTTGCTGTAGGTGGTCTCCAGAAAGGCTTCCAAAAAAAGGTGTCTGGTGGTGAGGTAGATATTTGTGCTATAAAATATCTGAAACCCGAAAACCAAACAAATTTAATATTATAATGGATGAATACTGGTAACGATCGAAGGAATAATGAAAATTTTGATTTTTGACAAAATGGCGACTTCAAAAATAAAAAATTTTTGCGAGGCGAATCTACAGAAGCTGAGGTTGTTACATCATATCATTGCTTGTTCTTCCTTCCATTTAAAAAAATTACACAAGCAAAATACATGGGCAAAAGGGTTTTGACTTTTCGAAAATAAGAATTCATAGAATTTTTGTTTTTGTATTTGTGTACTACCGTGACTGAATTTGTCTAGTATTTTTTTTTTGAGAAATTCTACACTTCAAAGTGGCTTAAAAAATCGAAATTATTTTCAAAAATTTTATACTTTCGATCATTATAAGACATATTTGTACAAGGCCATATGAAAATTTTAAGTCGATCGGTTGAGGCGTTTCAGTGATATTTTCCTCACCTTCACAGTCGATGCGTTTCGAGAAAAGCGCATTTAAAGTTTTGGAGAACCATTTAAACGAACTTAAACTACTTCGCCTATTTTCGAATGCCACAAGAGGTCCTTAATGATCATAACTCCAAGACTGTTTGTCGGATCATCTGCAGATTTTGGGCAAATATTCTCAAATATACGTGCATTCAAAAAATTAAAAAATTTAGAAAAATTAGATTTTTTGAAAATTAACCCCTTAATGCGAGTAAAAATACCGCCAGCTGTTTGATATGATCTAACTCACACAAGGGGTTGTATCATTACACATTAAAAAGATAAAATAATTAAAATTTTTCAAGAATTTTAATTTGTATGACAAAATTTTGTGATGTCTTACCAATTCAAGCCGAAATGGGTAATAATCTGACACATTTTAAAAATCTTCAAATTCATAGAAAGAGCATAGACTCAGCATTTCGCCTAAAATTATAACACCCATATATATATATATATATATATATACATAATTATCGCTTTGCCACCGCTGAAGCTTTTTTCGGCCGAGCTTCTCCTTCAATTTGTGGTGCAATTTTAATTTCCAAATGAGCGCTGGATTTTTATGTGAAGCTTTGATTTTATGTTGGAAATACACTTGACTCTCAGCCGAGGGGCGAACGCAATTAGAAAAATTAGTTTTCTTTAATCTTAGATATTTGGTCAGACCAGTACTTGAACCTTGATCCTTCGAATGTTAGCACGCAATTCTAACCACTCGCCTATTGCGGACACCACCATTGTATGCAAATATAAAAATAAGTAGCGATAAACTGGCATTTACATGAATATGTACTTAACAATAACAACAAATATGCCTTCACATTCAGGACACATAAATTCTTGTATATTATCTAAATATACCTACAAACAAGAATGTCTACTATATGAACACACATATACAGTTATTTATCAATGCACTTACATACATTTTATATTTGCATAAATTTTCAATAAAAATCATTAAAAAATATTTTTCTTGTAAGCGAAAAAAAAAACATTTATATATACGAATATGTATGTATATAAGCACATATGTACAATTATTTCACTTTCATATTTTTCAATTTTGCTAATGGCTGCTGCATTCACGCAAAAATTAGAGAGAATAAATTCACAATAATGGCATATTTATTTGATTTAATTCGGTTGTACTTGCAGGGAAAGGGAAAAATAAAAATAAATAAAATAGAGGATGATTTTTTAAGAGCTATAGGAAAGTGTTTCAAAACAAAAACATAAAATTCATAAAAATGCATGAAATATTTATTTGAATCGATAGAACGTTCCATATAATTTAATGTTTGAAGATTATTTCATTCTATTGTTTGTTGACCGTGACTGCGCCTCAAATGGTCCACCTGCTTAGTCGAACTTTGATTTCATCTCACGGTAGCGCTCATCACTCACAGTAACGTTACGATTAACCAAGCGTCTTTGGGAAATCGAAAAATCCAACATACCGGTGACTGAAAACCAATAACAGTCCAGACTGCCTTGAACCCGAAACCGATCGCGAAAGGTCACGGTTACACTTCCTTCTTACACTAAACAGCTACAGATTTGTTCATCAGCTGCTATAAAATTGCCTGGGAAAAGAAGAGGGAAGTTATTTAATTATTCGAAGCACTCAGTAAGTAGATTTTGATACAGAAAAGCGAGTCAGAGGAATCAATGCTGGGGAAATGTGTATTAAAATCGTTACACAAAGATCTAAATGGGTCGTGCATTTCGAAGTTTGTTCTACACGAGCCCAATAAAAGGGGCCTAAAGTGTCTAGATGATCTTAACGGGATGGTAAAGTTAAGCTCGCTAATTAGGAAAAGGCTATAGATAGCACTTCTTATCAATTTAGTTAAAAATAAAGCTCCAAGCCTCTTTCTACGACTTGGAGTGTGGGCAGATTAATAAGCCGTAAACGACTTTTGTAAGAAGGCAGGTTCTTGTACGCATCCCAGCTTAAATTTCTTAACGCGTATAATAGGAATTGCTTTTGTACAGATTCCAATTTATCACTACACAATCGATAGTACGGACTCCATATAACTGAGCCATATTCCAAAATGGGCCTAACAAGTGAAGTAAAGAGTAATTTGATAGTATATGGGTCCTTGAATTCCTTAGCCCTCCTTTTGCCTTATTAGCACAAGTATTTATATGATTTCTAAAATCTATCTTAGGATCCATTGTGACATCTAAATCAATGAAGCCAGTAACTTGCTCATCACTGTCATCATATAGGCAAAGGATTGGAAAGATTTTCTGGAGAAACACATAGATTTGCACTTTTTTACTTCGCATCGCACCTCCTAACTAAATTATTTCTATCTTCCATAGATTGAACTGATTTAAAAAGCTTGACATCATCTGCGTACATGAGTAATTTAGAATGAAGAACAACATTTGGAAGGTCATTGATGAATATCAGGAAGAGTTAGGGATCGAGGTGAGTGCCTTGAGGAACACCAGATGTGTACTGCTATTTCACGTGATGTACAATTTTTAAAAATTACTTTTTGTTTTCTACCAATCAAATACGATGAAATCCACTTGAGAAGAGAAGGTGGAAACCCGAAATGATCGAGTTTAAAGTGAAGTAAAGGATGAGAGACCTTGTAAAATGCTTTGCTGAAGTCAGTGTGGATAACATCTGTTTGATTGCCATTTTTGAAATCATTAATTACATGGATGGTGAATTTCAGCAGGTTAGATAGGTTAGATTTACCTTTTGCAAAACCCATGTTGTGAGATGTCTATAATTGATGACACTGAATGGGCTAATTCTTCAGTTATAATAGCTTCGAAAATTTTGGGGTAAAACATAACTTTGCTATCCCCCTGTAACTCCCTATTGAAGATTATTACCAGATTTATGTAGAGGTACAATGTATGACTCTTTCCACAAAGAAGGGAATAAATTTTGTTTTAATGAAGCATTGAATAGGTTCGTAATGGTATATATAGAGATAATTGCTAAAAAAAAAATCACCCTTTAGTACTTACATACTTCGGACCAAACTTAGCTTACCATTTCATGTACATGAAAGGTATAAAATGTATCCCGAGGATATTTGGTACTTATTTCGAATTTGAACCAAAGTAGGGCATAAATACATGCTCTTTCCGCACATTTTTTTTAAGCAAAACATTTGAATACTCGTCAAGGCGGTAAAGAAAAGTTTAACGTCAGATCACGTTTTTTATATTTTTCTTAGAGAGAACGACCCGAGAAAATTCAGTAGCCCATCCGAAATTCTCATAGAATTTTCTTGTACATATTTTTATATTTGCTTTTGGTTTACATGCATTTCTGTCACTCTCTTGCCTGTGTCTTCAAATATATTTCGATACTTTCCCCCCGCTCTCTACAGCACTGTCCCGTTGCGCTCGTTGCGTCAACATGAACTTTTTTATTTCTATTAATTATAAGCGTATCGAATAATTATGAGCGAAAATACACATGTGTGTATGTATGAGTATTGTTTATACTGAAATTAGATTATTAATTAATTATGTTTCGCTATTTTTTTTTTTTTGTTTTTTTTTGTCTGTGGTTGCCTGAGGTTCAAATTCGTGTATTGGTATTCTCTTTCTCTGTCGCCAATCACGCTGCTCGCTGTTTATTTTTGGTATTTTTGGTTTTGTTTAATAAAACAATATTTAATTGTATTAATTAATGTGACACCAAAGGCAATTTGTTGTTGCCGTCTGCTGGTTTTATTTTCGAATTTTTTTTTCGCCTAGATTTTGTAGTTTTTGTTTTATCTGTTTTTTTTTTTTGATTTGCTGTATTTGGTATTTTGATATAGTGTTGATTTAATTTAATTATTACTATTTTTTATTAATTTATTTTACAGATTTAATTGCTTGCATTGGTGCCAATTTATTTGACTTTGCATTTCCGCTCTCTGAAGCGATAAACTAATAAATATACATAGCTACGTGTGTCTGGCTGTGTTGTGTGTGTGTGTGTTTCGAAATTCACAAATCCGTGCCTACATAGGAATATATTTGGCATACATACATATGTATTTGCATATGTAAATAGGCAAAATATTTGTGTAAAAGCAATGTACAAATGAAATTTTAAAACTATTTGCTCGTACATAACATGACTGTGTGTGTACACATACATACATACATACATTTCTACATGTACAAAAAAATGTGTGTAGGTTGGTAGCTGCGGCATTGGCGATGCAAGTGTTGCTTGTTTTCTTTTTTTTTTTTGCTGTTAAATGTAATAATTTCCGCCTGGTTAAATCCATTTTTGTCTCTATGTGTGGCAAAAATGTAAAGAAAAAAAATAAAACTTTTTAATTAAAAACAAAAAACTGAGAATGCTTCGCATTGCTGTTATACTTTTCTCATAAATAGAGTTAAATTCAACTTTAAATGAAATGAGATTCTATTCTGAGATTTTACATTAATTATGTATATCAGCATCAGCTCTGTTGATGAGAGATGGATGAGCGGCAAAAGTGCGTGAAATGCAAGAGCTGTTAGGGAAAAAACAAGGAATTCATTTTTTCTTCTCCTGAGAGTGTAAATTTGGCTTAGCTGCAAAAAAAAATTTATTTTTAACTCTTTCATATGATTTCCTTGGTTGTTTTGGTCCCTCAGCCATTGTGTAGGCTTTATGTGCTTCCCGCTTTTCACGACTCTGCTGTAGAGCTTATGGGTTGGCTGAAAAGGTTCTCCGCTCAAAAAGAAATAGCAATATGAGCTCCAAATTTTTGTCGTCATCAAATTGGTACATCTGTTGAGAGCACACATGCACAGTTATAAGTCATTCTACCAATTCATTCTTTCAACAAAAACTGGATCGAAAACATATCTCTCAGCATAATTTGGAGCGTTTGAAGCAGAATAAAATGGAATTTTTGTGTCATTTTATAGCCTCGGATGAGACTTGGATCTACCAATTTCCGAAATTGAAGCAGGAACGTTTACAGTGAACTATTGCGGGTTGTTCAGCTCCAAAGCAGGTTAAGTGACAACGAACATTAAAAAAGGTTATTTCACCAGTTTTTTGGGATGCAAAGGTCATTTGGTCGATTGATTATCTGCAGAAAGGTAAAAGAATCAGTTCTTAAAAATTTTGCAGTCTTTTGAATCGACTGGATGAAAAAATTCGTAAGAAAATAACGGGTTTGCAGCACAAGCAATGCAATTTCCATCAAGACAATGCACTAATGCTCACAAAGGTGGTTTAACAATGACAAAATTCAACCAATTAAAGTACGAATTACCTGAGCATCCAAGCGACTACTTCCTCTTCGGAAACCTGAAACAATTCCTTTGTTGCAAGCGTTTACTGTGGGTATTTTGCAGAGCTTCCGGAAAGTCATTATAGGGATTGCATAAAATTATTGGAGGAACATTGGAATAAGTTAAGGGAGACTATATTGAATTAAGCAATAAATTTCGTACCAAAAACATTATCTTTACCTTTCGAGCGCAGAAACCTTTCAACTAACCGGTATTTCGACAGATTTCTTGTACTGTTTTAATTTCATCCATTATGTGTACCCAAATACGAGGGAGCGTTTTTATACTCGCAGAATGCGTGATAAGGGTTAGAAATAAAAAAAAATATTTTTCCTTTCCAATATATTCACCTGCGAGACGGATATATTTTCCAATTCTTTCAAATAAATTAAAAAATGGTTTCTATTTATTTTCAAAATACATCGAAACTGAATCTTTGACTGCATCAACATTTTTTACCCTCAGCTCTTTTTTCATGTTTGTAAATAACTAATAATCACACCAGGCTGTAAGGTGGATGACTCAAAGTATCGAAGCCCACCTTATGCAAGGCAGCCAATGTAAAGCGTCTGTTGTTTTTACCTTAGATTATGTAGGATTTTAAAAATGGTTGTATGAAGTACTCCAACTATTTTTGCGTGTTGTTTATTCTTCTTCAGTTGAGTATGGTTGAGAACAATTTTTTCAAGTTTTTATAAAATACGCCTTTGCGGACTCGGATTCCTTCCTTGTTTAAATAAACCATGACACCTGTAGATCATGTTTTTTCCGGAAAAGAGCGATTGCATTGCCTGCTCTTCTTCGAGTGAGGTATAAAGTGGTGAATCAATTCTTTATCTTCCATGACATATGTATATACGAGTATAGATAATTGTGCTTAATAATCGTCCAACTTGTGTCTTAATGTCTCTTCCAACATATGCATGGACCTGCAATTTAATTTGAGTCACCTCCGAACGGTTGATGGATTTTTTAGGGGAGCTTTTTATTTTATGTCAGAAATACACTCGAAGGGGTTGATATTCCCTGCGAGGATGTTTCTTCCATGACCTTTGTCATAATACGCTATTCACATTTTCAGTCGTCCGGCTTGTGTACTTTCTCTTTGTTAGTGCCCATCTTTGACGCACAACAAACAAAACTGAATCAACCCATCACAAAACTTTCAGAAAAAATTTTTTAAGACGAAATGTCATATTTCTAAGATCATCCGGCTAGGGTGACGCTTAAGAACGCGGGATATATTGTAGATAAATAACGTCATATATTGGAGAAAATAATGGATTTCTTTTTACTACCCCAATATATTATGTATACTATACAATAGTGGGTGTTTTAAAAAAAATGAAATTATCCGCTGACTTAGACGTGGGATTGAGGCGAGGCCAAGCTCGTTGGTGAATTATAAAAACCTTGCATGGATTCTGTTGGACACTTTGTTTGGTATCCAAAAAAATAGATTAAACGTTTGCATGCCACTAGAAATTCTTGAAAGGTATACATACATACATGATTATCCTTGGCCTATTTGTCACTGATTGTGCAGTCAGTTTTCAATTATTTCAACGATCAAAAAAAAAAAAAAAATTGTTAAATAATTTAATTTATTTTTGTGATATATGTATATTTAATACTTTAATTTTTGTGCTCGAACAATTGTCACTTTATTTAAAAAAAAACAGATACTGTGAGTATACAAACATATGCACATATAGTATATTTTGTTACGTTTTTAATCAGTTACTTTGATAAGCGCGACAATTTTTGCTTCCATTTATGTTTAGCTTCATTCTTTCTGCTAATATTAGTTTAATATTATTTCTCTTTCTTGCCGCTTTTTTGCGCATTGTCGCTGTACTTTTTATTATTATTATTTTTTTTCGCACATACATTTGCTTTCAGAACTTTTTAGTGCTGACTGCGACCAACCGCTGTTGTTCCTCTTTACGTCACACCGTAGAAACTTTGTTTTGTTTATCTTTTATAGCCCCGGTTTTATTCGCAAGTCGTTTTTTTTTATTTTTATTATTTTTTTTTTAGATACATTCGTATTATTTATGCTCCGCCGGCAAGTGTGTGTGTGTGTGTGTGTGCGTGTGCCGGCGGCAGATATAGATATTTGCCGTAGTTAAAAGCGTACTACAGACGATGAACACAGTGACGAGGTGGCCGAGA